GTCATTACTGCTCAGTAGTTATTATGCCCCTACTAATGGCATGGTAAAATGTTAAAAATTGCAGGCCTTACATATACTAAATCTATTAAAGTTGCAAAAGATGTGAACATTCCATCGAGTGCTCCTGGGTGCAGTTGCAAAGGAAATTGTACCAATCCACTGACTTGCTCTTGTGCTAAACTCAATGGCTCAGATTTTCCTTACGTTGCTCGAGATGGTGGAAGGTAAGGTTTGAATTATAGCATAAGTTTTAAGACTCTTGTTTTCCAGTTGTCTCAATTTCGCGGCTGTTTTACTTGTTTGAGATCTACCAAACCTTTTTTTAAAGTGTATGTATTGATGAAACTCTCTCTCTCTCTCTCTCTCTCTCTCTCTCTCTCTCTCATCCCTTTTAGATTAATTGAACCGAAGGCTGTTGTGTTTGAGTGTGGTCCAAATTGCGGCTGTGGACCTGATTGTGTGAACCGTACATCTCAGAGGGGATTAAATCATCGACTTGAGGTCTAATGACTACAACCAACTCCCTAAAGCTTCTTTGATGATTACATTGGTGCTTTACAAATTTGATAAATATAACATTTCATTGAACAGGTATATCGGACAGCTGACAAAGGCTGGGCTGTTAGGTCTTGGGACTTTATTCCCTCTGGTGCACCAGTATGTGAATACACTGGAGTTCTTAGGAAGAATGATGACCTAGACAGCGTCTCAGAGAATGACTATATATTTGAAATTGATTGCTGGCATACAATGAACGGGATTGGGGGAAGAGAGGTATTGTTTAAACTGTGTGCTATGGATGAATTGAACTTTCAATACTTTTTTTACTACTCGTTCTTTGAATGCTGTGTTGTTTACCTTATTGGTTTGGAGATGTGGTCTTTCTCATTGAAAATTTCTGTTACATTTGATTCTTTTGATATGACATACATTCCTCTGAAGTATCTTTACATTGCAGAAGCGAATGTGCGATGTGTCTATTCCAAATGGTGATGCTGAGAAAGGATTTAGCAAGCTATCAGAAAGTGAGCCTGAGTTTTGCATAGATGCCGGTTCCTACGGTAATGTTGCTAGATATATCAATCACAGCTGCGAGCCTAACCTCTTTGTCCAGTGTGTTTTGAGCTCTCATCATGATGTTAGGCTAGCTAGAGTCGTGCTATTTGCTGCAGATAATATACCTCCGTTGCAGGCAAGTCTCTCTCTCTCTCTCTCTCTCTCTCTCATCTTTCTTTGTTGCTGATATACCTCAGAATGATGAATGGTTTATTCGACGTTGCATATGCAGGAACTTACATATGACTATGGTTATGAACTCGACAGTGTGGTTGGTCCTGATGGAAACATAAAGAAGTTGCTTTGCTATTGTGGTGTAGATGGCTGTCGAAAGCGTTTGTACTAGGCCACATGATCTATATGTTCTTTGATTTATGCAGAATCCAATTTGATGTTTCAAGTGTATCTCAATAGCATTTGAATTGCATCCAATTTGATTTCTGTGTTTTATAAATATTTTTTTTTTCGAGGGGCTCAGGTCTGTGGTGGAGATTGCTGAATGAAAATGGTAGTGGGTACATATTGTATAATTACTAACTTCGTTATTGTTATCATATTCTCATTTTGAAGTGTTGATTGGGTACACAAATTTATGGTCTAACTAGCAGCAAGGCACACTCAAAAGTAATTAGGATAAATTGATATGTTTATTCTACTTTGAAAGAGGGATATATATTACATATAGAGTCGGTACAAATAGAAAATATATTAAAAAAATTTCCTAATTCTATTAAAATTAGATAATTACAAAAAAATATATATACAAATTCTATTCCTAATAAGAACGTTGACTTTGACTCAGCCAATACTCCTCAAGTTAGTGCATAGATATCAATAATGCCCAACTTATCAAGTGAGTTTTCGGTGTTTTGACACAGCATGGGTCAACATATCTGCAAGCTGCTTCGAAGAAGGCACAAAATATATATAAATGAACTTTTTCTCTAGCTTCTCCTTAATGAATGTTGATCAACTTCTACATGCTTAGTTCAATCATGTTACACTGGATTGTTAGCAATTTCAAATGTAGATTGACTATCACAGTGGAGCTTTGTAGCAGCATTCGATCTAAATCCAATTTCAGCAAGTAACCACCTCAACCACAATATTTCACATACCCCCTGGACAATCTCTCTGTACTCAGACTCTACAGAGGATCGAGATACAACATTTTGCTTCTTGCTATGCCACATAACTAGGTTACCACCAATAAAGGTGAAGTAACCTAATATATAACGTCTATTAGTAATAGCATAATATGTGCCAGTGTAACTTTTTGGATCCAAGTGTTCATTTATCTTAAATAATAAACTTCTCCTATGAGCAGACTTTAAGTAACTCAGAATACGCATTACAGTAACCATATGATCCTCACTAGGTGAATGGATAAATTGGCTAGAAACACTTACCGCATAGGCAATATCAGGGCGTGTAAGTGATAAATAGTTTAATCTCTCAACCAACCTATGGTATCTTTCCTTGTTAGTTGGCACGTGATCCACATAAACCTCAAGTTTATGATTCTCAACAATAGGTGTCTCATTTGGTTTACAGTCAAACATCCCAGTATCTTCTAGCAGGTCCATGACATGCTTCATTTGTGAAAGAAACAAGTCATGTTTATATCGAGTGACTTCCACTCTTAGAAAATATGTCAGATTACCCAAATCTTTCATCTCAAATTTAGATGCTAAACGCTTTTGCAAGTCCTCAATTTCTATAGTATCATCACTAGTCATAATCTATCATCAACATAAATAATCAATAGAGTCACCTTACCACATGTTTGATTAATAGAGTATGATTAGTATTGACATGTTGGTAACAAAAACTTCTTCATAGTTGCAATAAATCTCTCAAACCAAGCCTAAAGAGACTACTTTAATCTATACAACGCCTTTTTTAATTTGCACACGCTCCCCGTGCCACTAGTAATGCTATATCCTGGTGGAAGACTCATGTACACTTCTTCTTGTACTTCACCATGTAAGAATGTATTTTTTTACACAAATTGCCTTAGGGTCCAATCCAGGTTTACTACTAAAGACTAGGGATGACAAAAATCCCTGCAGGGGCGGGTCCTCATCGAGTCCCCGACCCTAACGGAAGGAGATTTCGGGGCCAAATGAGTATCGGGTACGGAGATCCCCGAACTTGAAAAATCTCCGACGGGTATGGGGAGGGGATGGTATTGTCGTCCCCATCCCCAAACCCGACCCGAAAATGTATATGTTTATAATTAAATAAATATATACATATAATTATAATATTTATGTTTAACCCTAAGTTAACCTCCCTCTCCTAATTCTTCCTAATCTTCTCTGGAATTTCTTATTGATGTGATTTTGAATAATTGAGTTGAACTTTATAGTTAATTTGGATGTGTTGAATGATAATTTAATATGAAACTTAATGTTAAAATGTATGATAAATATTTTTTATGCATAAAAAATTGGGGAATCGGGACGGGTATAGGGGATAGTCCCGACGGGAATGGGGACGGGGATTCCCCTAAACCTATTAAACGGAGATGGGGCAGGGATGAAGAGCAGGGACGGAGATGGTATTGTCATACCCGGCCCCTACCCGACCCGTTGCCATCCCTACTAAAGACATCAAAACTCTGACAATATTCATCTTAGTCACAGGTGCAAAAGTATCATAATAATCAACTCCATACGTCTAAGTGAACCCTTTAGCTACTAATCTTCCCTTGTACCTCTCCACAGTACCATCTGCATTATATTTAACTATAAACACACCTCTACATCCCATAGACTTCGTTCCCTTTGGTAGATCAATAATGTCTCATGTATTATTTTCCTGTAGCATCTCAATTTCAATATTCACGGCTTCAGCCCACTTTGGATCATTAAATGTCTCCTCAACACGAGTTGAAATTTTAATATTATCAATTTTTGACACAAACGCTTTGTACTCAGGAGATAACCTGTTATCAGACACATAATGGGCAATAGCATATCTTGCTTTGCCTTCTGGTGAGTAACAATCTGGTGGAACCCAACGATTCCGTCTATATGGTAAAATATAAGATTTATCTGTAGTAGAAATAAAAGTACTTACTTTAGGAATATCCAGGGGAGCTTGATTGGGTACTATTGGATAAGCATGAGGAATCGATTCAACAACATTAGTAAAAATAACAGATTTGGGTTCGGCCAAAGAAGTAAGCTCAGTTGGTTCAGCCAAACTAGTAGTTTCGACCAACTCAGTAGTTTCACCCAAAGCAGTAGGCTTAGTTGGTTCCATCGTTTCTCCCCCTTGTATCAAACCATTCAACACCACTTCTCCTTATAAATCTAGCCAGTCATGTCCTGCACTTCTAGTCCCCCTTTGGAAGACATGCTCGGGTATATCAGAAAAGAACAGTTCATCATCAATGAAGGTAATACCATAGAGACATACAAACGTTGGGTAGCAGGATGATAGAACCAGTAGCCTTTGTGATAATGAGACCTAGAAAGACACAACGGAGAGCACAAGGATCCACTTTACTCCTCTAATTCTGATGGAGGTGAACATAGACAACACAACCAAATACTTTTAGAGATAGAGTCAACATAAAAAAGACGTAGACATGATGGGTCAGTACCTACATAAGAGTTCGAAAATTCAGAACTCGTGAAGGTAGACGATTCAAGAGATAGACTGCATAGGTAACAATATCCATCTAGAATTGCTTTGGAACTGACGCACCAAGCAGCAAAGCACGGCCAATGACAAGGATCTACCCATTTTTACGTTCATCTACCTCATTCTGTTGTGGTGTTTGAGGGCAAGTAGTCTCATGGAGTGGATAACCTTGGTGTGAAAAAACTGGGATAAACCCGAATTTACTATTCGCTACTATTATCATATCGAAAAACCTTGATATGGAGCATAAATTGAGTTTGAATCATTTGATGGAAACGCTGGAAGATAACGACCACGTCACTTTTATTTTTCATCCCATATAACCAGACCATACGAATGCAATCATCCACAAATAACACAAATCAACGAACACCCAAGGCAGTAAAAAGAGGGGAAGGTCCCTAAACATCATAATGAACTAAATAAAATGCCATAAGGCGTTTATTACAACTCAGAGGATATAATACCCGATGAATCTTAGCTAATATACAAGTCCGACATTTTAAAGAAGACTTGTTAACACCAATAAATAATCTAGGAAACAAATGCTCAAAGGATGCATGACCAAATAGGCAATGGAGCAACCAAATCTAGCGATGTTGAGAAGTTTTAGCTCTACTAGCACGAAGAACCTGACTAGTTGCCATGTCATCCACATAATAAATGCCCCTTTTTTAGTACTAAAACCAAATATCTCCCGAGTCTGGTTATCCTGTAGTAAGACAACGGACGGATAAATCAGTACAACACAAATTTACTGCTCAATAACATGTGGCACATATAATAAATTGCTAAACAAAGATGAAACCAATAGCATTTTGTCCAATGATAAAGTATGTGTCAAGTTTATAGAACTATCCCCCATGACATGAACATCATAATTATTAGCAGTCAGAACACGATTGCAATGAGGCGGGATAGTAGTAGAGAATAAATCAGAACCATATATCATATGGTCAATAGCTCATGCATCAATAATCCAACCTGTATCATGTGCATCATGAGCAAGGATGACAGCTAGGTGGCCGTGCCTAATGGTAACGTCGGTTATAAGAGCGGGTGTGTCGGTTCCAAGTGCTTTGGTGCCCTGTTGTTCTTTTTAAGTGCCTCAGTTCTTTTTCCCAATTTGGAATCCCATGCAACGCCCATCATGTGTTTATAGTATGCATTTTATTACCACATTGACTACACTTTAGTTTGTCTTTTTTTTTTTTTTTTTTTTTTTTTTTTTTTTTTTTTTTTTTTTTTTTTTTTTTTTTTTTTTTTTTTTTTTTTTTTTTTTTTTTTTTTTTTTTTTTTTTTTTTTTTTTTTTTTTTTTTTTTTTTTTTTTTTTTTTTTTTTTTTTTTTTTTTTTTTTTTTTTTTTTTTTTTTTTTTTTTTTTTTTGTGTGTGTGTGTGTGCAGAAGTCATGCCACGAGGCCAAACAACAAAAAGAGTTAGACCCTAAAGGTCGAGAAACAAGAGCAGTGTTTTTGGAAGCAAACACAACAACAGATTCCCCAATCTTGGTACCAGATCCAAGCATAGTAATATGATGTTGAGCCTCTCGACAGACCATAAAAACCACTTTCTCAATACTTGGAACCTTATCACTTTGTAGAATATCACTACGAATTTTATCATAAGTATCATCAAGGACATGCAAAAAATCACACACGATTGGACATAATAGCAGCCTGAAAAGTTTTCATATCATTAGCACACTTCATTTGAAAGGGACATGACAGGACGACCCCCTTGCTTGAGACGGTAGCCTGGCACTGCAGTTCATAGAGCTGAGATATGTTAGGGCCATCATAAAACATCTAATTAACAGCATCCCAAATATCCTTGGCAGTAGGTAGAGTATGAAACATATTCAACAAATAGGGTTCCGTACTTCGCAACATCCAACTTTTCACAATAGCATTAGCAATTTTCCACTTCCCAAACTGTGGATCTTGGGAATCCGGGGCATCAGTGTAGCCAATCAGGTAACCTAATTTGCCTTGTGTAATAGCATGAAGTTCTATAATCGAAGCCCATATCTCATAATTGGATCCATTCAATTTGAATCTCATACGTATATTGGTGGACGATTCAATAGGAACCGTCACAATGGGGGTAGGAGAAGCAGTAGGTGAAGTAGGACCATAAGCATGTGAAGGAATAAAGGCATCAAAGTGTGGCATGGTGATGGATAGCGGTGGCGATGAAGGCTAGATGGCAGTGCAAAGAAGACGGCGACAAGGTAGTGGGCGGCAGCGGTAGGCTAAGTGTATAGTGCAGCAGGTACTGTTTAGGGTTAGGGGCCTTTTATGTTGTAGAGATGGATCGAAACCCGTTCTGATACCAACTCAAAAGTAATTAAGGATAAACTGATACGTTTATTCTTTTCTCAATGAGTGATATATGTATTACATACATAGTGGGTACAAATAGGAAATATATACAAAATCTCCTAATTCTACTCAAATTAGATAATTACAATAAAATACAAATTCTATTCCTAATAGGAATATTGATTTTGACTCACGCCAACAGCACTGCACAATTTTTATTTTTTATACAAGCAATATTGAGAAAGAGGATTCGAACACATGAACTCAAATGTAGAGGTAACTGCTCTTAGAGCATCTACAATCATGTTATCTATTTTTTATTTAAAATTTAGCTAAAAACATATAAAAGTTATTTTAGGAGCTCCCTATAAAATTTAAAATCCAATCATACTCTCTAATTTAGGAAGTCATATATGCTATAACTTTTTTTTAATTGGTCAATCTCTATTAAAAAATAATATAAAAAATAGTTAGCATTAATTAAATATTTGAAATACTCATTAAATAAAGCAACATTAAATTATATGGAGCCACTAGGAGTTCTTTCTCTCTCCTCGGATTTAGGAGCTCCTAGGCCCCATTTGGTTCATGAGAAAGGAAGCTTGGAGATGGGAAATCAATTGTTTTCTCATGTTTGGTAAGTCAAGCATGGGAAATTATTGTCTGGCAGATGGGAAAGTAGAGAGAAAGTGAAGCCATCCTCCTTAGGTTTTACTTTCCCCTCTCATGAGAAAGTAAGGTTAGCATTAAATGCACTTTTTTT